TTATGGTGTTAAGAGGTTTAAAGTCGGTCCATTTTGATAATGCATCGATTACTACCAACCAGTATTTTCCTTTAAACGGAAGTCGACGTGCAGTCTCTCCCATACTTTTGCTGGAATGCTCCACGAGTATAATGGCAATTCTGGCTGTTAGCGATTTTGTTGGCAGCTTCTGCAGTCTTTCACGTATTTATCGATATCAACATCAATACCCTTCCACGTTACATAGAATCGTGAAATGGCCCGCATTGCGGTCGTACCAGGATGACCATCGTGTAGTATAATCAACATTTGTTCCTTCAATTTTTCTGGTACAACGATTCGGCCTTGCCACATTAGGACTCCTTGTTCGATCAACAGTTTATTTCGTTTATCATATAAAGTCATTACATTCTTTGAAAAATATTTACTCCAAGTCTGTGTTAGAATGGTGTATTTGATCAATTTTAAAAGTGAATCTGTCGCAGTAATTTTTTTAGAATTTCTTTCGTTAAGTGCTTATCATTCAATTTTCCTGTGTAATTCTCTTCAAAAAAGATCCGATTCTCCTCCTTTGAACAAGGTTCTGCTTCATTAGGCATCCTTGATGAACAGTCTGCGATGGTATTCAATCTTCCTTGTCGATATATGATATCGCAGTTGTATTCAGCAATATATAATGCCCATCTGGTAACTAGTATTGGTAATTTTCATGTCGGACCAAAAAGATGTTTCATTGCTTTGTGATCGGTTATTAAAGTAAACTCATTCCTATGTAAGTTGTTGCCCAACATCTGAAAGTTTACGTGAAACGAAGGCTAAATATTTCTAATTTTTTTGTTCAAGGTGGAATAGGACAGCTCCTGTCTTTTTCGCTAGCGCCACATGCCAAGAATAGCGGTTTTCTGTCGTTATATGAAACTAAAGCATTTGATTTTAAAATTTCGTGGTTGATTTTGTCAAAAATTTTGTTTTCGTGTATACCCCAAGACCATTTTACATTTTTGCGAGTTAGTTGATGTAAATCAGCACACACAGAATGTAAATTAGGTATAAAATATTCATAAAAATTTGTTAGTCCAGGAAATGATTTTAGTTCTGTTATATTTGTTGCTTTCGCGGCATTACTAATTATCTTGCCGATTTTGTTCTAATTGTATTTACATTTTCGTTTAGTTCTAAGTCATCATAATCTTTTTCAGCAGTTTATCGTGTTTGTGCAATTTTAAAAACTTGACTAAATGTAATGTCTTCTCCATTATTTGTTTTTACCTCGGCTCACTTTTGTTTCAGTTCTACTTCTAGTTTTTTATACTTTAAACCTGTGGCAAATCTATCTCTCATTTGCCTATCCAACATGTCTCCTTCGTATTCACAATATAGGGCAATTTCTTTAAGTCGATTAGCATACTGTTCAAAGGGTTGGTCCCTTGCACGAACACTATTCCAAAAATTTGTAAGTACCTTGAATCTTGTTATTTTAATTTGAAAGAGGCTTAGAAATTTCCTCGTTATTTCAGAATAAGACTGTTGCTCAAACTTTGGTTTCACGTTCCTAAAGACTATTTTAAGTTCCCTAAAAGTATCAAGTTTATGATTTACGCTTTGAATTTTTATAATTAGGGTCATTCTGTTTGGCCTCTAAGTTCCATAATCAACATTGTGCTTCAAAGTAATCCAAAAATGTTTCAGCACTAATGTTGCCATCGAATTTCTCGCACTTAAAATTCATAACTATTCCCTGAATTTCATTGTATGCATCTCCCGGAGTTCGGCTAATTAATGTGCTGACGATTTGTGATATTTGCTCCTATTGTTGGGCTTGTATAGCTAAAAAATCTTTGAATTGTTCGGCGTCCATTGTGAAAGGAATATAGAAAACGTCTACTATTCGTTTACTATTTTAAGTTGTTTAATTATTATGTAAGTTACGCCACCATCCTCGTCGCCAATATGTAGTGGATCGTGTGTAAATGATATGCGCTTCGTATCTTAAATATTTAATAACTAATTCATAATAAGAATAACTATGAACTCTGATCTCAACTGCCTCTTACTAGTTTTGTCTGAAGTCCCTGTTGTCTTTTTTGTATGAATGGTTTATGTATGTACCTATATGAGTAATGAAAAATACTAACTGTTACACCGGAGCTCAAGCATACATCAGATTGAAATATCGTAGTGTGTACATTGCGAAAGTCCTTATTTTAATTAGGCAGTTAATGAAACCTACTAGAATCCAAATTGGAACTATTGATAGCCTTTATAATTTCTTTAGATCTCTAAAATAGCAGAAATAATAATTGGAAATTTCTATAAGCAGCTTTTTATGTCAAACCAGTTGGGTTTTACACCATGAAGCGTTGGATAATTCAGTATGTAATACTTTCTCTGCACATTTGGACGATTGCTCGGGATAATTTCTCGTTAATTTTTTCAAAACATATACTTAAGTAGAAATTGTTTGACTGTGGGTGATCATGGACGATAAAGACAACTCTTTACTGAAGAGAAAAGTAGAGAATTTATTTACAGAGATGAAAATGAGTAAAAACGAATAGAACCGTCGACTTTCGTCGTCAGAATTTTCTGTCGATCGGTTTTCGTTAGTTTGAAATAGGATACTTTATGTGGGTTAGGTATATTTACGCTCGAAAGGCAGGAAGTCAGATACAGAAAAGAAACTATATAAGACAAAGGCTTTCACGGCCGGAATTCATAGTAGAATGAAGATTCGGGCTTTAGGGCCGTGGTCTAAGTGAACTATTCTGTCCAGACGTTTCGTCAACTACTGCGGCTGATATCCTCAGTGGTAGTGCTGCGTTGACAACGTGAACGTAGATTATATCTCGAAATCTCCACAGCGACTGGATCACCCAGTTCATTTAGACCACGGCCCTATAGCTCGAATCTTCATTCTACTAGAAAAGAAACTGTTGATATGCCGTTAGCAGAAAGACAGTTCGTTAGATTCATGCAAAATTTTGTTATTTTTCGAATGGTACCATGGTTCATATACTGATCTCGTCTAATTTTCAAATTATTTACTGAAAGCAATTAAAATTTTTTAATTTTTTACGAAAATGCTGTAAAATTCTTAACAGAATTTCAAAACAAAAACTTCAATTTTGTTTGGCAATTAAATATTTTAATTCTCACTGTCAATCCAGAATGCAAAATGAAAATATAAAATAATTCATGTAGAGTTTATCCTTTGTTGTTATAAATCTATTATTTTTTATATATATTCCATTTATTTTTTATATATTGGAAAGAATAGGAGAACAGAGGACTCTATGGAAGTCAATAAAAAAATAGGCGAGATAGATTGGTAGGACACCTTCTCAGACATGAAGGTCTAGTCAGAGACATATTAGAGGCAGAAACAGAAGTTAGGATGGGCTTCTACCCTAGACCTAGATTAGATTACTGTTCGCAAATAGTTAAGGCTGTTCTAGTTTTAGGGAAATCCGAAGTTTAGCTCAGGATAGGAAAGAATGGAGTGACGACCTTATGATGGTGATGATTCCATTTTAGGAATTTCTTTAATTTTTTAGTGAGAATTTTAAATTAATTACAGTACAGCAGACTACACATAATAATAGTAAAAAGAGCCACTAAACACTAAATAAAATTAAATAATTAACTATATCAGCTGATAATAATTTATTGTATTAGTTTAATTGTTCGTGTTGTTACATATGAGTTTACCGGAAGGTAAACAATTTCTTAAAGCTAGATGGTGGGCAAATTAAACTAATGTATTTAATCATTATCAGCTGATATCGTTAATTTGCTGTTTTTACTATTGTTGTCTGTAGTCTACTGTATTGCAACTGATTTCTTTAATTTCTTCTCAATTTGAATACGAACTTTCATTTTGTAGTCTTATAAACAATAATATTCAATAGTTGACACTGAGAACCAAAATATTTAATTACTAAGCTGTCAGTATAGGTATTTAAGTGACAGCAATTAACTTCTATTATTTATTTTGAAATTCTGTTAAGAATTTCGAAGCCATCATTGTAGAAACTTAAACGATTTGAGTTGCTTTTACAAAGAACAGTAAATAATTCAAAAATTAGAGAAGGTGGGTATAAGGAACCATAGTAGATACCATACGATAGAGAATAAAATTCTACACAAATATATGAATATACATATAGAGTGTTCCATTTTGAAAAATGGACACAATTGTTTGAAGTTTACCAAATTTGCCTTAAATATCTAACACCGTGTATGTAATTACCCATTCTGAAAGTAAAGACGGGAAGTAATCTCCCCTTAGAAATTGTTACTCCAGCTTTCTTACTGTAAAATAGGTATGCTTTTCCTCTACCTACTGCTCTGTGCTACTTAAAAAAAAAAGAAAAACGGCCAATTTCAGAAGTAGGAAAGCCTTATGAAAATCTACCTAGAATCATAAGTAGAATTTAAAACCGTCTTAATATACAATATCTACTCACATATTTTTTGTGAATATTCTCAACCTGGTTTTCATTTCATTCGCAAATTTCAACCCCGTAAAAACTATAGCTTTAATTACTGGGTCAAATGATCTCATTCTTCTGTTCCAACTCATCCTTATATCATCGATATGATTTTGTAAAAGTTATCTTATCACGAGTCATTCTAGCTTAGAATTAGAATTTTTTACTACACTCGTCTTGAGACCTCTTGTTTTTTCTAAAAGTTAGTTATCAAATAATACCCATGTTTCATCTATATGTCTTAATAAGGTTGTTATTATCTACACAACCTGAACAGATTCTAGAATATTAAAAAAATTGAAGTAAAGTTTATATTAAAATAAATTTGCGTTATTACATACATATTTGTCAGATATAAATTGTTGAAAAATACGAAGATTAAGATTAAGCGGAAGTGCACTTCGTATTATTAAAAAAGTATAGCGAACTGTACGTTAGCTTCATCAAACTAATAACATTTTACATGTGTGTACATTGAAAGAATACTTATTTGCATTTATAAAACCAAAAACCAGATGTTTAACTTTTCAGGGTGGATGTGTCCTGCATTTTTTGACGGGATAATGTGTTGGCCAAATACACCTGCCAATAGAACTGCTGAACAACAATGTCCAACCTACGTTATAGGAATCGACAAAGAGGTAAGTACATAAACCCAGATTATGCAAAAGAAGCTTTCTGTTACCTTAACGTTAACTTATAATTATTATACATTATTGGTCTTATTACGATAAAATGGATAAACTAAAGGTCATTGCGTAAGACTGTTTGTTAGCACCTGATAGTCGAATGTTGTTTAAATAGAAATAACAAAAATTGGTTAGGTTCCTACAAATACTGCATTAACACCTTTCTGATGAATACGTTTTAAATATTGAATAATTATGTGGTTACCAAAGAAGAAATTTATAACTAGTTAAAACGAATTTTTACTTATGTTTGAATTTTATAATATGTACGCAGTTGTACCTATTTAAATGTCATAAAATTTTTGAAATATAATTATAGAGAAGATTCACAGAGTAAATGTGTACTATGCTTACGAACTCATATAGGTATTACAATATTACGTAGACTGAGGTGCCACTGTTTCTTGATAATTATAAGAATATTACTTCTCATTTCTTTGAAGCCTTTACAGTTTGTTTTCGTATTATGGTTAATACAAATTCTCACAAAGTGAACTGTTAAATTTTATATCATTGTATTGTATTTGCTACCACGGTTAGAAGGACCGATCTGATCCAATTTTAAATCAGAATATCCTTCTGAATTGTAACATAGTATTAATTAGACAAAATTTCCCCATAATTATACGTCTGCTACTTGTTAGAACACTAACATTCGTTTCTGAGAGGTCTGTCAGGATTTATATTAAAATATGTGTACAATTTTTACTTAACTTAATGTAAGCGAATAAGAAAAAAATAATTTAACTTTTATATGAATTAATCGTTTTCTTGAATAGATTATGGTGACAACAGTTATAGGTCACTTGATCCACATTTATAAAAGTTAGACAGTTTATTACTTTATCGGATTACAGGAAAATTTGAGGGATTTTTAAACTGACTGTGGGGACTTCGATAATATTATACAGGGTTTTTCACGTAATCCGTTTATTAGAAGTTTTTAAATTTAAAGTAGGTACCACTAGAGATTTGAGAATGCGGCAAATAACCTAAAAGCTAATGCTTTTTCTAATTAAAACATTTGCAGTTAGCTTATTTTAAATGCAATGCTGTATTTTTTATGACTTTTTTAAATTCAGCGAACCATTTCAGATCGACTTTGATTATACAACTATACCTAAAAAATTAGTAAGTAGTTTTAAAGATATTTCAATTTTTCGGAAAATTTAGAAAATTACATTTCCATGTTAATTAGCGGATTATTCAGCTAATTTTGAAACTATCGTAGCCGTATTGGACGATCTCGTAATTTTGTACTTATCTCTATCTGGAATTTATCGTTAATGTCTTAAAAACAAACAGGGTGTTAAAATTATTCTGTTCGTTTTCCATTTTGAAACATGTTTGCCTACTACGATGAAGCGTATTAATTTGAGCTTTCTTCAAAGATTTTTAATAACTCAAAAACTATTACACACAGGTGTAGGGAATCATTATGTCAACCGACGCAAAATTTAATTCTATATTCACTGATGAGAAAATATACAGTGTGGTCCATTAAAAAAAAGACAACTTTTCAAACCCCTGCATTTATATTTACGATATTAAAGGCACAATGCTGTATAAAGATAGATACGAGAAAGCTGATCACCCAATATGGCGACGGCGGTTTCAAAATTAACTGAATAATCAGGAATGTAACATGGGAATGGAATTTTCAAAATTTTCAGAAAAATCGAAATATCTCGAAAACTATTAATTTTACAGATAGAGTTGTTAATCAAAGTCGATCTGAAAAGATTCGCTGAATCTAAAAATCTCATAAAAAATATAGCATTGCGTTTAAAGTAAGGTAGTTTTTGTAACCGACGATTGCAAATGTTTTAATTAGAGAAAGTGTGAGTCTTTAAGTTATTTGCCGTATTTTCGATTTAATTAATTTAATTATAATTCCGGTTCCTATAGAAGTTAAAGGTTTAGAAAATAATGTTTAAGCCCTTTTTTAAAAACAAATTAAGATGTGCTACTGAAAGAAGCTGTCACTTGCTGAAACGTATACATAATTGTAAATAGTGATACGGTACAACCCAATTTAATTAAGAATTTTTAGTATAATTTCGTAAATAAACCATCACATGATAATATCGAACCAATTATATGACATTAAAATTATTTGGTTTCTATGTTTTACCGTGGTCTGGGTTTATTTTTTGGAAACGTTTCGTCCGCTGCTACTGTCGGTATCTTCAGTGAAAACATGGAAATATACAAACAAATGGTAAAAACAATTCAAAGCATAGACGGTAATTTTAATAAATATATAGCGGCATTTTCTCAATTTTCATAGACATCGACCACGTCGTCAACATAGTACCACTGAAGGTGCCATGCGTAGTTGACAATAAAACGTCTGAGGTTAATTTAGACCACGGTCTTTCAGCTCAAATTATGATTATATCATGAATTCCGGTTGTGAAAGCTTATGTTCTTATGACAGAATTTTTATAATCTAATCAATTCCAAATATTCTAAACATCTTAGAAAATACTACAAATGGCGCAGTAAACGCCATCTGTAGTTTTCAGCAAGAAGATATCCACACAAGTGGACCTTGTTGGAGCATACGTAATCCTAAAATGTAGCATCGTGCTACAGATGGCGTTTACTGCGCCATTTGTACTATTTTCTAAAACGCACTGTTAAGACGGCAGGTAAAAGTTGGTCTGTGTACTGTCGGAGCTGCCTGTGACGCGCTGATGAGATCCAAAAAGATCGAAATCGAGATCCGCGTCTGGCAGTTTCGNAGGTAAAAGTTGGTCTGTGTGCTGTCGGAGCTGCCTGCGATGCGCTGATGAAATCCAAAAAGATCGAAATCGCGATCCGCGCCTGGCAGTTTCGACAGAATACAGATCACTTCGAATTATTTTATACTAAACATCGTCATCATCATAAGGTCGTCAGTCCTAAGACTGGTTGAACACCCACCTCCACTTTTTCCTATCCTGCGCTAATCTTCGGATTTCCCTAAAGCTAGAGCAACCCATATCCTTAACTATTTGCGAACAGTAATCTAATCTGGGTCTAGCTCTACCCCTCTTAACATCCGTTTCTGCCTCTAATATGTCTCTAACTAGATCTTCATGCCTGAGAAGGTGTCCTACTAGCTTATATCGCCTATTTCTTATTGACTTTCATAGATTTCTCTGTTCTCCCATTATTTCTAATATCTCTTCATTTCTAACCTTCTCTATCCACGGTATCCTCGTCATTCGCCTGTAACACCACATTTCGAACGCTTCTAACCTTTTCTTTTCTGCCGCGCCCACTGTCCATGTTTCGCACCCATACAGTGCCGTGCTCCAAACACACCTTTAACAACTTTTTTCGAATTTATAAATTAACCGTTTGCGAGCATATAATTAACTTCTTTTTATTGAAGGCGACTCGACCCTGCGCTATCCTCTGCTTTATACCCCTGCTACTCCTTCCATCCTTACTTATCTGACTTCCTAGATACCTAAAATCGGCCACTTCTTCTAATTTTTCGTCTCCTATCTTAATATTCGCTCTTTCCCTACTTTTTCTTCCCTTGCATACCATTATTTTTGTTTTACTTTTATTTATTTTCATACAGTACTGTTTTTTCAATACCGCTTCCATTTTATTTAAAGCTATTTTTAACTCCTCCTTGCTAGATGCTAATACCGCTATATTATCTGCAAATCTAAGCATACTAATCTTTTGCCCCTGTGTATCTATCCCTACAGTTGTACTGCCTTTAATGATTTTGATCGCGCCTTCGATGTATAGATTAAAAAGTAGCGGTGACAGTGTGCATCCCTGTCTGACTCCCTTCCTAATATTTCTACGTTGCAGCCCCATCTCTATAACTGTCTGTTGCTCTTTATATCACTCTTCTATCTTTGTAACTCATTCCTACATTTTTAAGTATATTGAACATCTTTAACACTGTCAAAAGCTTTTTCTAAATCTTCAAATCCTGTGTACGCCATCTTCCTTTTTTCTATCGTTTTAACCCAAATTGATCTTCTCCTAATAGTTCTTCCGCCCTTTTTTTCATCCTCCTCTGTACAATTCTAGTTAAGGTTTTTGATTCATGGGAAGTTATGGTAATTGTTGTAAATGTCTCGCAGCTATCCTCGCCTCGCTTTTTAGGTATGGTTACTACCACGTTCCGTTTATAATCCTCTAAACGGTTGACATTAAATGAAATCGTTTTTCCATTATATTTCGGTACAGCCTCCATTACATTTTCCTTTGATCTATCCAATGATGTAGCACATGACATCCAGGCAAAACAATTAAATGTTTTCCAGTGAAACTAATTTTAGTCGAAACAGAATAAAAAATCACTAATACATTGAATTCATCATCATCATAAGGTCATCAGTCCTAAGACTGGTTGGACACGTACCCTCCACTCTTTCCTATCCTGAGCTAAACTTCGCATTTCCCTAAAACTAGAACAACCCACATCCTTAACGATTTGCGAAGAGTAATCTAATCTAGGTCTACCTCTACCCCTCCTAACTTCTGTTTCTGCCTCTAATATGTCTCTGACTAGACCTTCATGCCTGAGAAGGTGTCCTACCAACCTATCTCGCCTATTTTTTATTGACTTCCATAGAGTCCTCTGTTCTCCTATTCTTTCCAATACCTCTTCATTTCTAACCTTTTCTACCCACGATATCCTCATCATCCGCCTATAACACCACATTTCGAACGCTTCTAACCTTTTCTTTTCCGCCGCTCCCACTGTCCATGTTTCGCACCCGTACAACGCCGTGCTCCAAACATACACCTTTAACAACCTTTTTCGAATTTCTAAATTAACCGTTCGCGAGCATAGAAGTGACTTCTTTTTATTAAAGGCGACACGACCCTGCGCTATCCTCTGCTTTATATCCCTACTACTCCTTCCATCCTCACTTATCTGACTTCCTAGGTATCTAAAATCAGCCACTTCTTCTAATTTTTCGTCTCCTATC